AAAAAAAAAAAAAAAAAAAAAAAAGCAAATATAAAAGTCTGTTAAAAGACCATGTCAGCAAAAGAAATCACACTGTAAATCTCATCATTCCTCTTGCAGTGTGGAACAATCCCAGCCCAGAAGACACAGCAGGGAGTTTCCATGGCTTTTCCACTGCGGTGATGGCTGAAATTTCCCCTTAGAGATTTACTCCTTTGATGGTCACTTCGAAACCTCATTGCCACAGGAAGATGGAGTTTGAACCCAGACTGGGCAGATTAACAACTTGTACCAGTGTCTCAAAGAGAAAAAATTTTAAAAGGGCAGGGGACATAGCCCAGTCAAAGGCCCTGGTTTCAATCCCCAGTCCTGCCAAACAAAACAAAGCCCCCGGCCCTTCTCATCTCTCCAAGCTGTGGCTGATGAGGACATGGGTCCGTGCTACCTTGTATGTATTTGGGGGAGACAGGGCGGCACTCAGAGAGCCAAGAGCTATGAGGACAGGAACCCTGGGGCTGCCCTTCTTGGGCTGCTGTCTCATGGGGCCTTGGGTGCAGCTTCTCGAAGACGGAGGACATCTGCACACGGGGCACCGCCCTCACAGGGGCCAGGCTGCCGTCCAAGCAGAGCCCTGCAGACAGCAGATGGTTGGGCCGACTCGTTCACAGCACAGCGTGGGTGCAGGGCCCTTCACCCAGGCCGTGGCCGGGCCTGCACCCGCTCTCTGGCCACTCCTTAGCTCCTGGCCCAGGGCTCCCATGGACACCAGCATGGTGGGGCTGGGCCGGCCCCTCGTGCTGTACCCCGAGTCTCCTCTTTGCTCTGGGGTCACTGGCGGCCAGGAGTGGGATCTGACTGTAGATGGGGCCACCAGCCATGCGAGGGTTCGTGGGCCACAGCAGCCCACACACTGGGAACCCACCACAGGCACCAGAGGAGCTGGGACTTCCTTTCTTTCCTTCCTGTCTTCCTTCCTTCCTCTTTTTCTTTCTTTCTCTTTCTTTGTACCGGGGATTGAACTCAGAATCTTGTGCTTATGAGGCATCCGTGGTGCCACTGAGCTGAATCCCCGGCTCTGGCATCCTTTCTGCAGTGATGTCACCAGTGCAGGTGGCCTGGGCCCCTCAGCTTCCTCCCTCATGTTCCCTTCCCTCCTCTGCAGATGGCCGGACATCTTGTGGGTCCCAGTGGCTCCCAAGTTCCCTTCCAGGCTGGCCCTCAGTTGCCCCATCCCAACTTCCTACCTCACTTTCCAGGCATTGCCCCTCAGTGCCCAGAACGGCTGACCTGGCATGGTTGGTAGGAGCAAAGGATTTAAGTCAGGCCCCCCCTGAGTCCCCATAGCCCAGGACCTACTTAGAAGGAAGACACTGAGTGCAGCCATAGCTCAGCCCCTGGGCCTGGCAGGAGATGCGTGAGGACACCATGTGGCCTGGCTGTGCCCTGCTGCCCTGTCCCCTGCTGCACAGCACCTGTCTCTTCCTGTCTGGACTGCCCAGCAGCCGAGCTGGGGCAGGCACTGTAGGCAGGGCCTTCGGTGCAGACCCCATAGCCTCAGCCCTGTGCCACCACCAGAAGGAGCCCACTTGGCACAGTTAGCCCAGGGTCATCAAGCAACCGGCGCCGTCCGAGAGTGAGGTGAAGGCGGGTTTTATACAGCACCTTGTCCTGGCTCAGCCCCAGACTATCTCCTGCGATCTGATCCCACCACGCCCAGCGCTGGTTCCTTGAGAGGACAAGAGGGGAGTGACTGAAATACCGATTCCTGGGACCCCAGTACTGCCTGCAGGCCCAGAGATCTGTCCTCATGAGCTCCCTTGCCCATGCCAGAGGCCTCCACTGTGGGACTGTGCTTGGTCCTGCGGGTGGGGCACCCTACGGCGGTCCAGCCCGGCGTCCCTGGCACCCCACACACCTTTTCTTGCCTCTCCTTGCTGAGGAGGCTTCCGGGCCTGGGGGTGGGGACCGGGTGAAGGGGCTCTGGCTCCTGCTGCAGGGAGGAGAGTGACTTTGGTGGGCTCTGGGAAAAGGGGCCAGGCCTGGGCAGTGTCTGCTCCCCTGACACTGCTGCTGGCTCCCTGAGCCGGGCCTTGGGGGTCAGGCTGGGGCAGTGTCCACATCCAGGAGACAGGGAAACTACTCATCTCGGTGCAGCAACTGTGACCTCCGGCCAGGAGTCCCACCCTTTGCCGGATGAACTTCCTTCCACATCTGTCTGTCTGTCTCCCATTATGTTCTCAAATCGGGCAGGGGTTGTGGGTGTGTTTACCATCAGAGAAAAGTCTGTCTGTGTGCCCGGAAGAGAACCAGTTCTCGAGTTTCCTAGGAGTGCTGTCGTAATTCTCCTTCAGGCGGGCTTCTTTGGTGAAGAACATGGAAAAAAAGGGGGGGGCAGTTTTCACAGTCACACACTGGTGAACATTTTTGGCTCAAACTGTATTTTACAGAGTTCGGTTGAAATGATATAAGTTATGTAGCTCTGCAGGCAGTGGGGGAGCTGGCTGTGTGGGGCAGTCAGTGGATGCTCAGGCCGTTGTTTCTGCGCTCCCTTCCCAGCGGCCAAGCCCCACCAAGCCCATCAAGTGCAGGAGCACGCGTGGCTCCATGGCTTTGTCACCCTGTCTCCCCCACCTTTGCCAGGGGCAGGGGCCTTCAGGAGCCCCAGGCTATGGGTCCGTGTTCAGTACCCCAGGTCTCCAGGGACACAGGCAGTATGGGGAGAAAAATCGGATACTTGCTTTTCTTCTTTGTTCTCCCTGTTGGTGATACTGCTACTGGTCTTAACATCTCCAGGAATGCTAATTTTACTGGATCCAAAATCTCTTGGACTAGAATCTCATCTTGGGAGAAACAGGAGGACACGTGAGAGCCACGCGCTGTGAGGGCTGATGTCCCAGGTGCCAGGCCCACCAGGGTCTCAGCGTCTGCCCCCTGGGAACCCAGCCTGTATCCCTGCAGCCTCCCTGGTGCCCTGGGCAGCTGGGCTGAGAGGAGGAGGTCGGGGCTCAGCAGACAGATGGGCAGGCCGGTGTGGCCCATGGATGGGCGTCACCGGTCATGGATGCCGCGTCCCCGCCTCACTGTGTATCCGGCTGCCAGGAGCTCAGTTCTGAGGCTCTCAAAGCCCACGCCCGTCCGAACTATGACACTAAAGCCAGGGGACTGATTCTGCTCATCTCCGCTGTCCCGGGTGCTGAGGCCCAGCACCTGACACCCCCAGCTTCCAGGAGCAGAGCTCTACTTTGGCTCAGGGTTTCTGTCCTGCTCGGCCCGGCTCAGGGCAGAAACAGCAGGCAGAGGGTGGTAGGAAAGGCTGCTCACCCCAGGCAGATGGAAGCAGAGAGGAGGGGCAGACGCCACAGCCCTGCAGGTCCTCAGCCTGGGGACCCCCTCCCGCCGGGCCCCACCTCCCGACAGCACAGTCTGCCGGAGTCCTCCGTGAGGATCCACTGTCGTGCACAGCACCCGGGACCCAGTCTCCTTCACACGGAGGGCTTCGGGAACAGTGCAGATCCAAACAGGAACAGGAACAGGGCCTCCCACCAAACCCGCTCCGCGTCCACCCGTCCCTCGGGTTATTTGGGACGAACCCGTCGTGGCACAGCCTCCCCACGGCACCACTGGGGGTTCTTACCAAATACTGTGGCCACATCATCCAAACTTTTAGCACTCAGTAGTTCAGAACTTTTATCTGGGGTGGAAAAGAAAAACCTTAAGTTTGACAGCACTGGTCATTTTCCTGTGCCTCTCTGCAAGTGCAGGCAGTTTGGGGGGATGTCCACCCTGCTCTGGAAGACTGAAAGCCCATCCCTCATGAGCTGAGAGTGCCACAGCAAAGTCCCTGGGACTGGATCTGTCCCCCGGAAACGGTGGGCAAGGACCCCACAGTTGCCCAGCAGCCTGAGCAGAGCCTGCTGTCCTGGTCACCCGCACGCTGCCTAAGTTTGTGTTCCAGGGCCTTGGGGTTCATCTGGAGGTTTGGGGGTGAGTGGGAGGAAGGCTGCACTTCCTTTTGTTAGAGCATCACGGTGACTCCTCTGGACTGTCACAGTCATTCACGAGAGGCCAGTGGGCTGGGACAGCGCCACACCTGGATTCCTACCCGACAGCCGGGTGGAGCTCAAGGCAACTATTATAGACAGGTAAGTTAGTTAGATGTCTTGTAGGAAGTTAGACATGGCCAGCCCTTGAGGAGCCAACATGGAGGACAGGCCAGCATTGTGAAAGAAGAGAAACTACCATACCAGTGTGCTTCCACTAGGGATGAATAGCAGCGATTGATATTCTAAATAGTATCAACCACCCGGGTGGGGGGCCAAGGGTAAGGAGCGCCATCTCAGGAAAGAGGCCCAGACGGCGGGCGTCCACAGGCCCAGGGCCCTCTGGTCTGCGGCCTCGGTGGCCTTAGGGACAGGAACGGCCACGCTCAGCCACCAGCAGGTTTGTTTGGAGAGCCACGTCCTCCTCCTGACACCGAAGCTTTCCCTTCAGTGGCTGTGGGGCCTCAGGGTCTGGCAGCTCCCGGGCTCAAGGTCAGGGTCAAGGTCAGCCTCTCCCCGCCCAGGTTTCCGGAAGGCCGGCCGGCTGTGGGAACTGAAGCTCCAGCCAAACCAATGACGAAGCTGATTTTCAAACGGCGGCAATGACAGACAATCTGCACGCCAGCAGAGGCGTCCGCACACGTGCCGGGAACAATGCGGGGAATGGTAACAAGGTCTGGCGGCGGTGACAATCGCTTCCCAGTTTGCTGACCCTGGGAAACGAACGACGCGAGCCGGTTCTCTTTGGAGGAGGCATTAATGAATCGTTAAGAGAGTACAGCTGCGCCGCGCCGGCACTTTGTTAAAAATATTCTTTTCATGTGCTTCTGTCGCGTATCACAATGGAGGCGCCGGGCGAGGCGGCGTGAGCCCTGCACAGAGCACTTGTGTCCCACGCCGGGCGTCTGCCTCACTGTGCTTCCTGCATCTCCACCTCGCCAGGGCCACGGCTTCCGATGCC